TTTGTCTTAGTGATACTTTTTGGATCTGTCTCCCTAAGGACAACAAAAGCATAAAATAAATAAATAAATAAATAAGACAACATCAAACTAAAAAGCTTTTCCATGGTGTAGAAAACATCAACAAAATAAAAAGGAAACCTAATGAACAGGAGAAGATATTTGCAAACGATATATCCCATAAGGGGTTAAAATACAAAATATACTAAAACTCAATATCAAAAAACAAAAAATCCATTTAAAAAATGTGTAGAAAACCCAAGTGGACATTTTTTCAAGGAAGGCATCCAGATGGCCAACAGGCATATGAAAAAATTCCCAACATCACTAACTACCAGGGAAATGCAAATCAAAACTACTATGAGATACCACCTCACACTTGTCAGAATGGTTAGAATCAAAAAGATGAGCAATAACAAATGTTGCTGAGGATGTGGAGAAAAGAGAACCCTTGTGCACTGTTGGTGGGGATGCAAACTGGTGTAGCTACTATGGAAAACAGTATGGTGGCTTGTCAAAAATTAAAAATAGAACTACCCTGGGGTGCCTGGGTGGCTCAGTTGGTTAAACATCTGCCTTTGGCTCAGGTCATGGTCCCAGGGTTCTGGGATCAAGCCCCACATGGGCTCCCTGCTCAGCAGGGAGTCTGCTTCTCCCTCTCCCTCTGCCCCTCCCCATGCTCATGTTCTTTCTCCCAGTCTCTCTCTCTTTCTCTCAAATAAATTCTTTAAAAAAAAATAGAACTACCCTATGATCCAGCAATTCCACTTCCAGGTTTTTATTGGAAGAAAATGAAAATACTAATTCGGAAAGAGCTATGCACCCCCTATGTTCATTACAACATTATTTATAATAGCCAAGATATGGAAGGAACCTAAATGTCCCATCGATAGATGAATGGATAAAGATATATGTATAGACACACACACACAGTGGAATATCACTCAGACATAAAAAAAGAATGAAATCTTGCCATTTGTAACAATATGGATGGACCTAGAGAGTATTATGCTAAGGGAAGTAAGTCAGATGGAAAAAGACAAATACTGTAAGACTTCACTTATGTGTATTACCTAAAAAACAAAACAAAACAGAAAGAGACTCACAGATACAAAGAACAAACCAGTGGTTGCCAGAAGGGAGGTGATTGAAGAGATGGATGAAACAGATAAGGAGGATTAAGAAGCACAATCTTCCAGTTATACAATAAATAAGACACAGGGTTGTAATATGTATAGTCAGTAACATTGTTACAACTTTGTATGGTGACAGACAGTAACTAGACTTATTGTGGTGACCATTTCTTAATGTATGAAAATATCAAATCATTATGTTGTACATCTGGAAGAAATTATGGTATATTAATTATTCTTCCATTAAAAAGAAAGTACCCAATGAAAAACTTTTGCCTTTCTTCCACCCCAGGAGCAGTCAATAAAGATAACCATTGCAAACAGTTTCCTACATTTTGTCCAGAAATTTTCCATGTGTATATATAGATGGAAATGCATATATATACCCACATATGTACATGTGTATAAGTAATTATGCACATATTTATATGTCCATTTTAAGCACCATGGTGCACTCTATACAATATTCTATACCTTGAAATTATTCACTTAATAATATGCCTTAGAGATCTTTTCTTATCATATAGAGCTACCACTCTTTTAAATGACTACATGATCTCTCCCTGTATAGATGTGTCGTACTTATGTAACCAGCACCCTATTCATGGTTACTTAAATTCTTTACAGATTTTTTTTCCCCAATATAAACAGTGCTGCAAGGAACACCCTTGAGCACATGTACAAATACACATGTTGGATAAATTTCTGGAGTGAGAACTCTTGGGTTCAACGATACATGTGTTTTAAATTTTGAAATACACTGCCAATTGCCCGCCTGAGAGGGCTTACAATTTATATCCTCATCAACAATGTAGGGAATAAAAAAGCATTTTATTTAAGGTGCATGTATCAGTGTCAGATAAAGAGATAGTTTTATATAGAGTATAAATAATGTCTAGAAAAATCAATGGAAGGCTACTTACATAAAAAGCAGCTGAATTTAATGTAACGGTTTTACTCATTTCTTACAATTTGTAAGAAGGAACTTAAAACTATACAGTAAATACCATTAAAATATATACCTTTTTATTTAAAGGAAGATATAAAAATGTTAAGATAGAAAGAAGAAAAATGCAAAATTCAGAAAAGGCACATGTAGTGAAAGGAGGGCAGGGAAAAAATAGACACACAGAAAGATGTCACACAATGAGATCGGCACAGGAAAAAGAGAATACCAGAGACCCAGTGAAAATAGTGGAGATTGGGCTTTTCTACCAAGTGTACACCCCTTTTGTACCTTTTTCTGACAAAGCAAGCAACCTAAATGTCCATCGATACATGACAGATAAAGATGTGGCATATACCATATAGGTGTCTTACTCTGTATTCATGGGTGTGGTGGTTACATTGTTTGCCCTAATTCTTCAGCCTTCCCTTTATCCATACCTTGGTTATAGCCTCATCATGGGCAGAGTGTGACATGATGAAGCCAGTTTTAATTTCCAAAAGCAGGATGCTCAGCCAGAGGGAACAGCTAGTGCAATAGCTCTGCGTGGGAAAGAACATCATGCCTTCAAGAAACAGAAAGGAAGCCCGTGGGGCTGAAGACATCTTTCTCTTTTTAGATAGTTAGTGCCTCTTTGTAATTGGGAGAATGTGCTTGCCTTACTTGGCAAGAGGCCGGTGTCAATTGTAATTTCACTATTCCAAAGACCTAATTATCTTTAATAAACTTGGCTTGGACTTCAAATAAAAATGAAAACCCAACCTTACTCTGTTCTCATTTAAAACAGACATCCACGGCTGAACTAATGGCCAAGAGGGGACACAGGCCAGGCTTTTTCTACCACCAGGTTCAATGCTGAGAGAAGGAACATAGTAACAACAGATCTTCAGATTTGTCAGCTCCGTGGTTTTGCTTTTTCAAATTGACTTTTAATTTGGCAGAAGAGTTCTGTGTCTAAACGAACCAGAGTTTGCCTTCTGAGACAAAAACAGATCTAAGCGGTACCCAGAAGAAGTGATATTCTAGGTCGGACTGGGCTTTGAGGACTTTAGTGAGTGTGGCTGCCTTTAAAAGAGAGCATGATTTCTTCTCAGGAATGAGCTTCTCACTTAGATACTAGAAAAGAGGACACAGTTACCTGGTGGCACTTCACTCATTATTTTGTTACCTTATTTGGATTATTTAACATCTGTGAGCTTCAGATTTGTTTATGAAATGATGCTGGTAAGACTAACCAGCCAGCCACAAGGGTTAAATAAAGGGCTAAATAAGATAATATAGTTCTGAGTCTTATATAAATCATGAAGCGCCATGTAATTGTGAGTTATCTTAATTAGTGAAGATATCATGCCCTGCTGAGAGACTTAATTGCTCTCTATCCCCATTGGACAGGAAAACTGCAGTATAATATTTTGATGCATAAATGTAACATTTTGAAATAAACATGGCATACGCTGATATTGTACAACTGATAACACTATTTTATGACTATTAATTAAAGAAAATAAAAATCTTCTGTGGGTCTAAGTAGAAACATAGTAAAAGGGCTTCTTCCCTAAATATTCCTGTTGGAAACTCTGATTGCATCCCATTAAACATCAGCCATGATAAGCCTAAAATATGCAAAGTACAGCATTTATCTTTGGACTATATTTACATTTTGTTTATATGATGGTCTGACATATGAGCCCAAAATAAATATTTTAGAAATCTCCTCAATGTCTCAAAATTCTTTAATTGATCCTTTTCCCAGCTAGTCATGTTTTTCAGTATTAACTTTCAACACCTGAGTCATAATTAGCAGCACACACACACAGTTCTCCTTATGAGGAAAGGCAGTTAACTTCCATAAACCCAAATCCTTAGTCCTAACAGCCCCACATGTGGTCCTGGTTGCTGCTTGTATTCCCCAGTTGTGATCTAGAGCTTATCCTTGCTGTTGGTGGCACTACTGAGACCAAGCCACATCCCTTAGCCTTTGGCTTCCAGATTTCCTTCATTGACTTACTCTAAGAAATTAATACCAGTGTTGTCAACAAATCTGAAAGTGTATGACATCAAAACCTCATTCTAAATGAAGTTTACCTTGTAGAAATATGTTCTTCCTATGCTGATGGTTGACATCGCGTAGCCAACCATCTGGCTAAACATGTGTCTCAGCACACCTAGGGTAAGAAGAGAGAAGTGGATCCAATACCTAGATTTATCAATCAATAAATGTAAGACTAATGATGTTTCACATTAGGTAAGGATTTTCTTCTTCACCAGATTTGTCATAAGACTCCTGTAGTGAGCTTTCTAGGACCATCTGAAATGTGATCCAATTTATGAAAAATCAATTGACAGGTTGCTTTTTGAGAATGTATTCAATCCATAAAGTGTTGTGCCTTAGACATTGTGCCTCCTGATTTTTTTTTTTTGTTAGAACTCAGCAAAATAAAATTCCAGTTTATTGTTGGACAACATTGTTTCACACATACATCAAACAGGCCAAAATAAATAAATAAATAAACAGCAACTTCATAGACAAAAAAGGAAAAAAAGAAACCTTTTATCTTTGGCCTTTTTAACCATCTCATACAAACCAACTGCTTATAGTACAGCTAAGCACATACACAAAAAAAGTTACTGGAATGCTCGGAATAAGATTTTTTGTTGTTGTTGTTTTTGTTTTTACAAGGTTTTTTTTTCTCCTTTGAGATTATAATGAACATGGTCACACCACAAGTAAAGTCAGAAGTAGGACAGAGAACGCTCCAAAGGCTGGTTTGGTCATCTGAGATCATTAAAAATGGCTGACCCCTAACAATATGTACAAAAATATAAAATGTAAATAAAAAATACAAATTTTCCTTTTTAAAGTACTTTTAAGAAAAAAAGCAGGGCCTTGGAAGTTTTGGTTCTTTTTTCCTCCCCTGTTGCAGATTCACGTGGTGGTTTTGGCTGGGTGGCGGAGAGCCTGTGTCATCTGCGGGTGGCGCTGCCCACGTTGCCCAGGCGGGTGGGACTCTCTCCTCGAAGGTGACCGCGTTCAGATTCTGCGATGGGAAGTGGTGGGTGAATAGGTCACGGTGGCCTTTTTTTTGTTAAGTTTAACTTTTCCTTTTTTGCTGTCTAGTCATCCTCATCAGTCTTCTGCTTCTTGGTGTCGACATCGTCATCCCCATCGTCTTCAGCTACCCGTTTGCCTGTAACTGCCTCGGCCTTCACATCTTCATCTCCATCTTTTTCCTCACCATCGCCTTCCTGCTCCTCCTCCTCTTCCTCCCCCGCTTCTTCCTCGTCTTCATCTACCTCATTGTCGGCCTCCTGCTCCCCATTTTCCTCATTAGCGTTCCCATCAGCAGGCACGTCTCTTCCATTCTCCGCCTGCTCCACAACTTCCTTCTTCTCAAGTCCTTGGTGGTGATCTCGGAGCTGGTGTCCACGGCCGCGTCTGACATGATGGGGCACGCCGGTGATCCGATGCAGCGGATTAAAAAGAAAGCAAGAGGGGGCGCCTGGGTGGCTCAGTTGGTTGGGCCACTGCCTTCGGCTCAGGTCATGATCCTGGAGTCCAGGGATCGAGTCCCGCATCGGGCTCCCCGTTCAGCTGGGAGTCTGCTTCTCCCTCTGACCCTCTTCCCTCTCGCACTATCTCTCATTATCTCCCCCTCAAATAAATAAATAAAATCTTTAAAAAAAAAAAAAAAAAGGCAAGAGTTCAAGGACTCTGGCGAGAAAGCTGCCGGAGTCCGCGGTGGCGGAGGAGGCGCGCGGCAGAGGTGGTTGCGGCGAACGGGGAGCTGGACACGGGAACAACGCAAAGATGGCTTTTCAGAGCAGCCAGTGGGGCCCTCCTGATTTTTTTAAACAAGGTTTGCCTGTCTGGAGTGTGTGAAGGCAGGAGTTGGAGGGGGTTATAGTGTGCACTCAGTGGATATTTGATAAATACGTGTTAAATGAATGGAAAAATGAGTCAAAAAAATAATCACAAATTGACTGAAATGAGGAAAGTGCTGGACTTGCACACCCACTGCTAGGGTTGATTAGGAGGTGCTGAATCATGAAATCTTCTAGGTGGGTATGCCAGGGATACTTTCTCAGTACAGCAAATACATATTGAATGCCTATCACATTCCAGGCACAGGGAATGTGACAACAGATGCAACAGTGTCTCTGCCTTTGAGGAGCTTACAATCTAGTAGACAGAAAGATTAGCAGACAAGTCATTACACTTCAACCCAACGGGAGCGGCAAAATCTATGATTCTTTGAGACTTGGGCCACTGAATTATAACATCCTCCCACTCCAGCCCCACCACATCACCATTGTATACTTGTACTGGCCATTCCTTCCCATCAATCAGATTTGGATATCTGACTCATGGACTTCCACTTTATCCCAACCTCTACCTTTTATGTAGGCACCTACCTCTCAGCTTCTAACATCCTCACCTCTCTCTTCCATTTTCTTCCTGATCCCTGCTCACAGGGCATAGCCTGGACCCTGCGATCACTCAAAAGTCCATGGCCATAAGCCTGAATTCCAGCCTTCAGTCTGACCATAAACTCCTCTCCTTACTGATATTATATATATATATCCTCTAAGACTCTTCATTGACTATTCCTAGTGACCTCTGGCTCTGTGAGCAGAATGGGTAGGTATTTTGCCATCCTGACCACTTCAGCATAAATGGCCTTGCTGCCATTCCCTGCCAAAGTACTTAATACACTGGATATGTAGTGGACATCTATCCATTTTCAGTAGACCTTTACTGAGCATGTAAGTGCCAGGCACAGTGGTGGACCAGACAGGCATAACCAATGGAGCTCAGACCTTATAACCTGTGGGTGACGAAGCATCTGAATCCATTATCCAGAGGTCACCTCTACACTCACTCATTAGGAACTATTCTTGTTGTTAGGAGCTAAATACACTTGCTTTCCGTTCAATTCTCTCCAGGCTCCAGAAAGAAGAAAATCATGATTTGTCCTATTATGATTCTGATTTGTTTGATTCCTTTCTATTAAAAACTGCTGGGGTGAACTGGCTGAGAAATATCTTTGTAAGCACCATCTAATTTAGGTAGGTCTGTCTTTATTTGTTTATATGAATTTTCTACACTTCATACTTTGTACAGAACTCCCTAAATTCCCAATGGAATTGAAGGGCTTACCCCAACTCTGGGGATGGGGGTCCAGGGAAGCCAGGCAAACCAGGAAACCCCAGCATAAGCATATGGTCTTTAGAGTGACTGGATAATATCAAGGCACTGAATAAATATTCCAAAGTAAAAGGAAAAGTAGTTCACTTTTATGTCATTCTTTAGATGAGGATCAGTGGAAGAAATGGGTCTGGGTATATGTATGAGCCCCCTTGTCAGGATATTACAGCAGTCAGAGTAGCCTGTTAAAGATTTTGATCAAGCCAAGCACATGTCTATTCAAACCCTACAACCTTTTCCTATCTCCGGGATTAAGTCCTACTCTTGAGCAGGGCCTACTTGGCTCTGTGTGATCTATGCCTGGCCTGCCTCCTTCTTACTCACTAGACATCAGCTGCAGCAGTAGCCTCCTGGTCTTTCTCACAGGATCAAGTTCATTTTTGTCTTCATACACTCTGAATTTGCTTTCCTCCTGCTTAGAACTCCTTTCTCCCAGATCCTCCTATTTCTGGTTCCTTCCAGAAATAGATCTCATCATCCAGAGTAGTTGCTCCTAGCCTCTGATTCCCCATTGCATCACCCAGTTTCTTCAAATGCTTGGCATGTACCACATTTGAAATTATCTTTTGACTTACTTATTTCATTCCACCCCCTCTTAGATTATAAGCCCTTTGGGGGCAGAGATCTGGCTTATCTTAGTCATCATTGAATAATCAGAGCCTAGAATGATCTCTGGGGCATAGTTGACACTCAGTACATATTTTTGGAATAAGTGAGTTTGGAAAAGATGTTTTCCATCAAAATGCCTTCCCATGTCACAGCATTTAATCCATACATAAATGTGGTTTATGGAGTAATCAAAAACATTGCTTATCAAGCACCACCAATGGCAGGCCAATATAGAACGCTCACAACACTAGTCTTCCTCGGCGACAACCAGACACTTTTTTGGCTCAAGTGATTCTGAGGTGCAATTAGGTGGGGAGAATACCACCAGCTACGCTGCAGTCTCTAATCACAAATGAGCACCGTACTGGTGAGTCACTCAGGAGGGCAGAATCCAGAGGGGCCCCTCCTCTTTGGGCTGCACACAGATTATTAGGTGACTATTTTCTACAAAGAGCAGCCTAATTTACCCAGAGATGGTGGTGAAGGAACAATGGAGAATGAGTCCACTGATAACAGGCTAAAGAACTGTTGATGTTGGCAGAAAGAAAACAGTGTTTTTTCATAGTGTCCAGAGTTTGAAATATCCAGTCTTCAGCCAAATGTTCAGGCAGATCATGATTTTTATGGGCTTAGCTGTGCAACCCCAGAGGGAAAAGTACCATATGAAGACACATGTATGCATTTCAAGGATGTGCTCAAGGCACAACACACATGCACCTTGGATGAGCTAAGTTTTTATTTGCATGTTACATGTGGCTACAGACACCAAAGCCTACCTTTCAAATCCACTCTGTGCATTTTACATTTTTTTCTACTAGCTAATGTAAACATACCTTAAGGGATCATAAATGCTTGGATTAACATCAGCCAAGATATCTTGATCACATATAAATTTAAATGACTGTGTTGATTACATTTCCACTTAGATAGTCAGAAACCTGACACATTAAAGGAGACAAGGATTTAGGGGGAAAAAAAAGTTTGTCTCTAGGATTTGTTATAGTGTTTGAAAAATAGTATCTGAATTTTTTTAAAAAAATTACTAGCATAGGACTTACTACATGCCAGGAAATTTGTATGCGTGATCTTGTTTTATCTTCACAATGACCCCAGGAAGTGTTATAAGCAAGGATAAAGTCAAGGCACAGATTCTGCCCAAGATCACACAGCTGGTGATGCTGACATAGATTCTAGGCCACGCAGTCTGAACAAAGAGCCCATACTCTTAGTGACTCCACCCCACTGCCTTCTCAAATCCCAGACCATCTTTTGTCACCTGCAGGTTCACAAACACCTGTATATTCTGTGTCTCAGAGTATCACTAGTGACTGCTTCCTAAAGCTAAATCAACACCATTGTTAGTATTATTCTTTGCAAAAATCAGTGGATGCAAGCTTAGCCCCATGATAATGTAATTCTTGTCCTTAGGAAGGTGGCAGGCCAGCCCAAGGGAAATGTGCATTTCTCCATTCATTTACTCATCCAACGCCTAATATGTACAAAATACTAAATGCCAACAATGTCATGGTGAAGAAGTTTACATTCTAATATCTAATACATGCCAATCCAATGATAAATTAATATATTAAAACTGTGATAAACGGATAAAGGGAAAGCTATGGCACAAGGGGGCTTCTGATCCTGTCCAGGGGATTCATAGGCACCTCCCTGACAGCTGAGACCTGAAAGCAAAAAATAGGTGGTCTTGAGAGTCAGGGTACAAGCATAGGCAGAGACCACAGCCTGAGGAAAGGTCCTTGGGCAGAAGGTCAGTCTGTTCCCACAAAGACTGAAGGAAGGTGGGAGTGGCCAGAGCACTAGGGGAAAAGTCAAGAGAGGACAGGGCAGGGCTGATAGGAAGGTAGACATCCAGCCCGGCTCATTGTTCTCTGCTGCAGGCCATTCTTAGCACTCTCCCTGGATTAGTTCATCTGAGGCTTCCAAGCACCCTATAAGGTAGATACTATTATGACCCCCTTTCTACAGATGAGAAAAATGTCACCTAGAATGAGTCAGTCAATTTTGCCCATGGTCACACAGCCAGTAAATGGGGGATTTAAACCCAGTCACTCTGGCTCTGAGCCTTCACTATTAACTATTTGGCTAAACTGCCATGACACCAGGAAATCGAGGCATGGAGAAGTTAAACAACTTTCCCAAAAATCATACTATGAGGGAATGGTGGAGCCATTCAAACCTAGAGACTGGGCTACTAATTCTAGATGCCAACTACAGGGACCAGGTGCTCTTCAGAGGGGTGGAGGGGCACATACCAACTTTGCTAAATGAGCAATGCCTTCCCCAGAGCTGGGAAGACATGCTGTTGACATAATGGCAGAAGAAAGAATGACTTCCAAGGTCTTGCCCCACCCACCCTCTGAGCCTGATAAAAATGCTGGAGGAGGATTGGGCCTGAGCCCTGGACCTCAGCATGTTTCTCTTTGTGCAGGGAGTTCTTACTATCCCTGTTTTTCTGGTAGGAAGAGCAGCATCTCAAATGTCTTCCAATTGGAAATTCATGGAACAGAAAGATTTTTCCAGAGACAATTAAAACAATATGGCTCAACCTGAATTTTCCCCCCAAAATGTACATGTTTTTACCTTGTCTTTTTTCTTTCTGTGGCTTGCCAACACTTTGCTTGTGGAACAAGGGAACTGGGTCTCTCCTTATAGCCTGATATTTGAGATGGCAGAGATTTCTGCCAACCACCTTTGCCAGAGATATTCTATTAGTCTTGGTTGTTTATGGGCTAAGGGAGAGCTCCCTTCATGGGCATCTGGCAAGGTAGAGGAATAAAAAAAATACAGCATGCTGCTTCTGCTGTTGCCTGGCACCAAAGTCTGTCATGCAGTCTGGCATTATGTCTAGGCAACAAGACTGGCATCGCATCAGCCAAGGGACCAGGAACAAATACTTCTTTCCCATTACCATCTCATCCTTCTCTCTCTCTCTCTCTTTTGTTTTTGTGTGTGTGTGTGTGTGTCAG